CATGCCAGTCCCAGACAGGGAAGGCCACTGGGAAGAGCTCACCCAAGAGGAATGGCAAGGTAGGCAAGTTATCAGCTTGGGCAGCGTGTGCTGCCTAGATCCACTAAAAATATCAAGTCCCTCACAAGAAGGAAGACAAGTCCTATACCATCGCCTAAACTGAAGTGCAAGTTGAGTAGTACATCACACTCCTACCCTTGTCCCTTGACAACCTTCCCAAGACTATTTCTGGTCCCCAGACTATGCCCTTAATCATGGAGGCTCTGTTGGCCTCACTGCTCCTTCTCCTCCAAATCAGTGCTCTTGTGTTACTTCTGTGTCTTCCAGGAAAGGAAGAAATCGTGCAGTGCCTTAAACTCCCAACAAATGGGAGAATGTCTCCTGGACACTTCCAAAGCCTAGGATAGCAAGAAAAGCCAAGTAAGGCACAAATATGGTAATGGGAGACAAGGGATGTTTTAGCACCTAAATTGAAGTGCAAGGGGATTAACCCATCCTTTTCCTGCCCTTGTACCTTGACAACGCTCTCAAGACCATTTCCTGTCTTCGGACTGTGCCCCTTCTCATGAAGGACCTGTTTCCATCGCACCACCCCTTTTCCCCAAATCAGTGTTATTGTGTGATCTGCATGTTTTGTAGGCAGCATGGCTAAAAGGCCCCAACCAAGGGTGAGAATGTCTCGCATGGCATCCGCATGCATGAAATAGAAAGAAAGATCATGTAAGACACAACTTTGGTAATGGGAGAAATGAAACACAAGAGAATGTACCACTGAATGGGGTTGGCCTTAGGACTAACATGAAGGAAAGACCTTCTTCCTGGAAATGGATCCCTGACAATTGAGCACATTTAGGTAAAAAGGGATAGAAAAATATGGGAATGCTTTTATGGTTGCTAAAGTAAATTCCCCCCTTCTCTAACTTTATCACATTGGACTCACTGTACCTCCCTTCACCACTGAGCTGTCCAGCTGGTGTCTTGTGATGTCTTAGCCTCTCTGTCCACCCAGGGCTACCATTGGTTGATGACTTGCTGACCAAAGAAACCCCAAGAGTGTGGTCACCTCTGTGACAGTATTTAAATGTAGGCCAGGTCCAGCTAGACAAGACCACTGGGAAGAGCTCACCCAAGAAGGATGGCATTGGATTTGCTTGTACATCATGGGCTTCCTTGATGCACTAAAAAAAGATCAACAACTTTCCAGAGAAGGAAGACAAGGGATATTCCAGCACCTTAATTTATGTGCACGGTGACTAGCACTCCCTAGTCCTAACCCTTGTACCTTGAAAACACTCCTAAGATTGTTTGCTGTCCTAAACTTGTGCCCCTTCTCATGAAGTTGCTGTTCCCATCACTCCTCCTTCTCCCCCAAATTAGTGCTCTCTTGTGATCTCCATGTCTTAGGGTCAGACAAGTAATCGATCAGTGCTGAGAACCACCAACCAAGGGCGAGAATACATCCCAGGGATTTCACTTGCATGGGATACCCAGAAAGACCAAGTAAGACACAACTTTGATAACAGGAGCAAAAGAAGCAGAACAGAATATACTATTGAGTAGGGGTGGCCTTAGTAGTAACGTGAAGCAAAACCCTCTCCCTGGACCTGGATCCCTGAATATTGAGTACAGGTAGATAGAAGGGATAGGAGACCAGTTGGTGAATGCTTTTAGTGTTCCTAAAGTAAATTTCCCCCTTCTCTAATCTTATCAGAATTGGACTCAACCTACCTCTCTTACCCAAGGAGCTGTGCAGCAGTTCTCTTTTGATGTCTAAGCCTTTCTGAACACCCAGGGCTACCATTGACTGGTGACTTGTTGGTTAAAAAAGCCAAAGGGTGTGGCCACCTCGGGCACAGTATATAAATGGAGTGTATGCCCAGGCTGGCAGGCGACTAGAGCTCACCCAAGAGGGATGCAAGTTATCATCTTGGGCAACGTGGGCTCCCAAAATCCACTAATAAATGATCAAGATCCCTCTGGAGAAAGAAGGCAATGGATTTTTCAGCACATAAATTTAAGTGCAAGGTGATTAGGCTTTCCCACTCCTGCCCTTGTCATTTGACAACTCTCCAAAGATCCTTTCTTGTCCTCAAACTTTGCCCCTTCTCATGAAAGCCCTGTTCCCATCGCTGCTCCCTTTTTCCCCAAATCAGTACTCTTGTGTGAACTCTGTGTCTTCCAGGAAAGCAAGAAGTCAAGCAGGGCCAAGAGCCCCCCAACCAACAGCAAGAATAAAGCCTAGGGCCTTCCCATTCATGGTATAGTCGGGAAGATCATGTAAGACACAAACTTGTTAATGAGAGGAAAAGAAACAAAACACAATGTACACTGAATGGGGGTGGCCTTAGCAATAACACGAAGGAAAAAATCTCTCACTGGATCTGGATCCCTGAAAATTGAGTACATTTAAATAGAATATATAGGAGACCAGTATGGGAATGTATTTAGGGTTGCTAAGGTCAATTTCCCCCTTATCTAACCTTATCACATTGGACTCACAGTACCCCCCTTCCCCATGCAGCTGTCCAGCTGGTGTCTTGTGATGTCTTAGCTTCTCTGTCCACCCAGGGCTACCATTGGTTGGTGACTTGCTGTCCAAAGAAAGCCCAAGTGTGTGGGCACCTCTGTGACAGTGTTTAAATGTAGGCCAGTCCCAGGCACGGGAGACCACTGGGAAGAGCTCATACATTAGGGATACAAGGTATCAGCTTGTACAGTGTGGGCTACCTAGATCCACTAAAAAAAGATCAAGATTCATCCAGAGAAGGAAGACAATATTCCAGCACCTAAATTTAAATTCAAGGTGAATAGCCCATCCTATTTCTGCGCTTGTCCCTTGACAACCCTGCCAATATCATTTGCTGTCCTGAAACTTTGTCCCTTCTCATGAAGGTCCTGTTCCCATTGCTGCTCCGCTCTCCCCCATGGCAGTGCTTTTGTGTTATCTCTGTGACTTTCAGGCAAGCAAGAAATTGAACAGGGCCAATAGCTCCCAACCAAGGGAGTGAATGTCTCTCCAGGGTTCCCATGAATGGGATTGCAAGAAAGAACAACTGAGACACAAATTTGGTAATGGAAGTAAAAGAAAGAGAACAGAATGTAACACTGAATTGTGGTGGCCTTTGGAATAGCGTGAAGGAAAGACCCTCTCCCTGGAACTGGATCCCTGAAATTAAGTACAGGTAGATAGAAGGAATAGGAGACCACTCTGGGAATCCTTTTATGACTGTTAAAGTAAAATTTCCCCCTCTCTAACTATATCACATTGGGCGCACCAAACTCTCCCCTACCCAATGGATCTATCCAGCTGCTTTCTTTTCATGTCTAAACCTCTCTGTCCACCCAGGGCTACTATTGGTCAGTGACTTGCTGACCATAGAAAGCCCAAGGGTGTGGCCACCACAGGGACAGTATATAAATGGAGGACAGCCCCAGGCAGGGCACCCAACTAGGAATAGCTCACCAAATAGGGATGGCAAGGTATCAGCTTGGGCAGGGTGGGTAGCCTACATCCACTAAAATACAATCAAGATCCCTCCAGAGCTGGAAGGCAGTGTCTATGCCAGCGCCTAAATTTGAAGTGCAACTTGAGTAGTCCATCCTACACCTGCTCTTGTCCCTTAACAACCTTCCAAAGACCCTTTCCTGTCCTCAGACTGTGCCCTTTCTCATGAAGGCCCTGTTCACATAGCTGATCCCCTCTCCTCCAAATCAATGCTCTTGTGTGATCTCCATGTCTTCCAGGCAAGCAAGAAATCAAGCAGGGCCAAGAGCACCCTAGCAAGTCCCAGAATGTCTCCCTGGGCGTTCCCATGGGAGAGATATGAAGAAAGATCAAGTAAGACACAAATTTGCTAAAGGGAGGAAAAGTAACAGAATTGAAAGTACTACTGAATGGCGGAGGCCTTAGGAATAACATGAAGGAAAGACCCTCTGCCTGGAACTGGATCGCTGAAAATTGACTACAGGTTGATAGAAGGGATAGGAGACCAGTCTATAATGCTTTTAGGGTTGCTAGATTAAATTCCCCCCTTCTCTAACCATATCATATTGGACTCATGGTACCCCTCTTCCCCATGGAGCTGTCCAGCTGCTATCTTGTGATGTCTGAGCCTCTCTGTCGACCCAGGGCTACCATTGGTTGGTGACTTGCTGACCAAAGAAAGCCCATGGGTGTGGCCACAGAGGGACAGTGTATAAATGGAGGCCAGGCCCATCTGAGCACACCACTGGGAAGAGCTCACCCAATAGGGATAGCAAGGTATCAGCTTTGGAAACGTGGGCTGCCTAGATCCACTAAAAAAAAAAAAAAAATCAAGATCCCTCTAGAGAAGGAAGAGAAGGCCTATGCCTGTGCCAAAATTTAAGTGCAAGTTGAATAGCCCATCCTCCTCCTGCCCTTGTCCCTTGACAGCCCTCCCAAGACCCTTTCCTGTCCTCAGACTTTGTCCCTTCTCATGAAGGCCCTGATCCTGTTGCTGATCCCTTCTCCCCCAAATCAGTGCTCTTGTGTGATCTCTGTGTCTTCCAGGCAAGCAAGAATTGGAGCAGGGCCAAGAGCCACCAACCAAGGATGAGAATGTCTCCCTGGGCGTTCCCATGCATTGTGGTGACCCGAAGAGATGGAAAGTTGCAGTGCGGTTTGGACAGTTTCACCTACTGGCTGAAAAAAGCCAGGCACTGGCCCTGATGCAGGAGTGCTTCCCTGAGACCCTGTGGAAGACCAGCCTCTTGGGTGTGGCCCCAGAAAGGCCAGGCCAATAGAGGCCACAAGAGAAACAGCACCAGGTTGGCACAAAGAGATTCGCCTGAAGCCATGGAAGCCCTTGCTCACAGAAGAGGGCACCACAGGCTCTTGTGTGCAGAGCCCACAACCTCCATATAAACTGAGGAATGACCCATGGTCTGTGTACTGCTATTGAGCAACAGAGGTAGGCCTGGAATTATACACCAACACTTTCCAGTGATGGTGGTAATAAAACTTAGCTCTGTGAACCTACCAGTGTGTGTCTCTATTTTCTCTGGTGGTCAAGACAGTGAAGGAAGCAATGTACCGCTGAAAGGTGCACCTGGGAAGGTTGTGGAGGAATCACCCTCCATCATCGCTGATCCACTGGTACTGAGTCTAGGGAGAGAAGAGGGATAGAAGATAAGTATGAGAGAGATTTGCATGAATCTTGAGCACATCCCTCCCTTCTCCACCATACATGCTGGGCTCATCATTCCAAACTCCTCTCTCCCCCCATGGGTGATGCTTTGTGGTACTTAAACACCCCCCATTGCTACTATGACCTAGTAGTTTCATGACCAAATAAAGTGCAAGGGTGTGGCTATCTTTTGGCCAGGTATACAAAGAGGACAGTCTCTCCTGGGGTAGCCCACTGGGAGGCAGCAAGCATTAAAGGTGGGACAGAAGCAAGCAGTACTTCAGGTAGAGAGTGAAAAAACCACGCCAAGCACCCCAACTAGAGAGAAGAGAAGGGTTGTGCCACCATCTGGATACTCACCATTGGCATCATATGCAAATACCACACAAGCAAGTCCGAGTACTGGTGTGCAGGAAAAATGAAAAGCCTCTTCACCACTTGGGCTTGAGGGAAAGTGAGTGGATCAGCCCAGCTCCACACTTTGTTCCCCTTGACATTTCTCAAGACCACTCCTACCTTTTAGCTGGACTGTACCCTTCTCCTGAAGCCCCTGCTCCTATCCCTCGTCTACCCTCTTCCTCAAATCAGATCACTCCTGTGATCTCTTTGCAGATGCCCAAGAAACCTAGGAAGGCAAAAGGAACTACTAAAGGCAATTTGGAGGCAAAGGCATCCCCCAGAGCATGCTAGAGGTCCAGCTCTGTGGAACTCAAGAAAAAGAGAGGGCTAGCATCATATGGAGACCTCACCACACTTAGTGGTGATCTGGGCAGCCAGGGGCCAGAGGCCCCAACCTCAAGGCTGCACCAAATGTCTCCAGAAATAGCCACTGAAGCAGCTGGGAAATTTTACACCAACAATTTGAAATGATGGAGAAAATATAATGAACTTCTTGAGAAATGTGTGTGTGTGTGTGTGTGTGTGTGTGTGTGTCTTTGTCTGCTCATTGAGGGTGAGATGAAGGGAGGAAGGAAGGGAACAGGCAGGTGTGTGAGAAGGGAGGGAGGTGTCTGAGAGACAGGAGAGCTTCCTCAAACACACCCTGAACCCAGAGCCTGCCAAGACTAACACAGCATGTGGGTTGGCCAAGGCCCAGAGAGCTAAGGGCTACCTACTGCTGCAGTGGACTTGTGGCCCAGGGCTGCTGCAACCAGCCCCAGTTGATGCTGGCTAGAATAGTTTGAGAGACTCTTCCAGATACCATTGCTTTCCAGCGATGTGTCTATTGGCACTGGCCTGGAGACAGACACTGACAGGATCTGCCATGCATTAGGTTTTGCCAGCCTGGCACTGAAGTCTGTGGCAAAGTCCTGTGCTAACTACCCTTGTTAGTCTCAGTAAAATCAGTCTTGCTCCATGCTCTTCTTCCTGGTAGGTAGTGCTAGTGAAGGCAGTTCCTTGGTTACCAAGACTGATACTAAGCTGGGTCATTGCTGAATCTCAGCGGTACAAGTCACACAGGTCAACACCACAGTTGACTCTAATGTAGGCCACAGCACAAGTCCATAATACTGTGGTCAAACATCTGTGCCTGGTGCTGGAACAGAACCAGAGGCCTCATCTGTAAATACTGACATGGGGACAAGTGTGCTACCTGAGGTTGGTGCACTTGTCCTAGGCCACCAAGGCTAATACTAAGCTTGGTTCCACATAGCTACAGGGACCTGAGCAAAAAACTCAAGTTCATCCACTGGTGTGCAATTCTCTACCTGGCACCAGGGAAGTTCTAGAAACTCAGTCTCTGAGCTCTGGCCTCCACACAAGGCCTTTGGTTTATGCCTGGCATTGAGTCTTGCTATAGTAGGCCCAGCCCTGAGCTCCCAGACAAATTCCTGTACTGGCTTCTGTATTCTGCTACACAATGTGTGGAGTCAAGCTCTACCAATGCTACCTGAGACAGGATAAGGACAGCTAGGAGGCAGTCAGCTTCTTAGCTAATGTGCTTCCAAAAGTTCATTCTGTGGATACTGTTGTGGGCCTCGGAATTGTGGTGCTACGGCTGAGACTAGGGTTCACCTCAGCAAAATCTGTACAGGATTTTAAGTCTAAGGCCTGAACTTAATTTCCCCTCCTTCTCCAAGTTGGTGTCCTCTCTATTCACAATGAGTAGAGTTGGGCAAGAAGTGATATCAGCAACTCTTTCCTTCCTGCCTTCTTCAATACATCTTTTCATATTATTATACTAGAAATTCACATTATAATCTGGCACCTGGCTTCCTTAACTTAAATGTAGGTAGTTTTTGGTAGATCTGCAGAAGTCTGTTATCACCGAAGGCTCATTCTCATCTTACACATCATACAATTATGCTCGGCCTCCATCTCAAATCAGTTTCTTCCTGTAATTCTTTTCTTATCAGTGAAACAGAGAAGTAATTTCTATCCATGAAAAGGTAATCTAGCATAATTGAGTTGTATGCACATACTATAAATTATTATGAAACACTAATGTTTTATTAATGATATTGTTTTACTTATCCTGAAATTATGATAACATTAAGTTTCAGGAAAATAATTTGATTTCACTATTGGCTATCTGGCTTCTAAAATGATGAAAGTGCCTAATACAAGTTTTCATAAGAAAGCAACTAAAACTAGGGGCCAAAAAGAAGGAATTGCATTTGTAAAGTGGAATTTAATATGTAATGACTTACAGAAATGAGTTAGAAAAATCAGTAAAGGCTTGTGGGGGGGTTGATTTGATTTAGAAGAGCAAAATCTGTGACAATGAACATGACCCCTCTATTTAGGGAAGGCTCTCAGATACAAATAGCTCTCAATCAGTAGATTTCATAACAATATGAAAAATAGAACCACTGCACCTGAATTTTTCCTATTGTACTGGAATATTATGGCAAATATGTGGTATAAATCATGTGACTTAGCTGTAAGATGAAAGTATTCGACAGTTTAATCTGCAAGGAAGTATAAGAGATATCACTATTTGTAAATATGATTAAGGTTTTTAAATAGTACATGTGGATGCATCCTAATAAGATACCATAAACCAAAACACTTTTCTTTTTATAAAATTATCTGAAAATTATTTGTGAGTCACTTTTTAAAGTATGGCCAAGTTAAGAATTCTTATAGTCCAATAAAAAGAGCAGTCAATAAGACACTGGGCAAAAATATTGAAAATGTACTTTGCTGAAAGTCCTTCATGAGTGGTCAGTAAACATATGAAACAATTTTTAAAATCATTAATCATCAGGAAAATGGAAATTGTAAGCACAATGTATTAGGATTATAAACCCACCAGAATTATTAAAAGTAAAGCACTAAGTAGCCATATATTGTTGTATATGCTTGTAATTCCAGCTTTCAGAGAGGCAGTATTTCAAGTTTGAGCCCAGCTTGGGCAATTTAGAAAAGTAGCAAGATCCTGGCTCCAAAGAAAAAAAAGTAATAGCCATGTAGCTCAGTGAGAAAGTTCCAGATTCAATCTACAGTACTGGTGGAAAAGAAAAGCACATATCAGACCATATGTTGTGGTTTGTATCTGGATGTCCCCCAAAGCCTCATGCAGCCCTGGGAGCAGGCTTCTAAAATTTGTGATTGATTGATGGTTCAATGCTGGGATTATGAATGCGAGTGCTACACACAAGTGGTTGTGGCCTACATACAATACATAGGACACAAATAGTCTTCTCATGCACTCCTTTCTTTTCGTTCTTTTTACTTTTGTTGGTTTCTGCAACCATGAACTGTTGCCCTCTGCCATACATCACACCGCCTTGAAGCCAGCGTATTATATATTGAAACTTCCACAAACTGTGAGATAAATAAACCTTTCCTCTAACTTCAGGTACCCAGCTTTTGTTCCAGCAACAAGACAAGTGTAATCAAGAAACCATGTGTTGAGGTGGAAAGGAATTGAATCCTATATGCATTAGCAGTAGAAATATGAAGTAGTATAATCACTTGGGCAAAGTTGAGTTTCCTTATAAATTTAATCACACACTGATTTTTCACCCAGAAATTCTTTTTGGTATTTCTCTGAAAGGAATTAAAATGTATATTAAGTCAAGTAAAATTGAAAACCTCCTTGGTTTTAGGAGGGATTTCACTGGGTTCTGTGGTCTCTCTGAGATCCAGCCTGTTATGTTTCAAGGGCTTCTGGGATTAGGTAATTTTCCTATAAATCCACTTGCTAAGATTCCCTGAAATACCCCCTTTTGATATGCCTCTTACTGCAGAAATCTTAAAAGCCATGCCCACGTGCCACTAGTGGCAGTAAGCGCTCCAATTATAAGTCACAAACTATTTGGCAGCTCCTTAGGAATCATCTTCTTTACAAAATAATCCTATTCACTCTGCCTTCCCCCTCAGTCCTGAAGCAAGCAAGGACGGAGGGTGTGTTAATGGGCACAATACAAAGCTTCTCTGATTGTTTGTCTGAATGCCTTAATAAATCCACAGAGCAACGGGTATTTATTGAATGCCTGCTATATTTTATTAGGAATTGACTTTGGATAAATACACAACTATTAGTAAGACACATTTTCTTCTCTCAAAGGGAAGTCTATCTGTTAAAAAAATGTAGACAAATGTAATAATACTTGACATTGATATACACACATATCACAGTTGAAGTAGACTTGGTTGAGTTAAATTTCACTGATGACTTTTGAACTTTGTATACCTGGTTATTACTATTCTATTCTGTTCCAGGTTTGAGGAATTTTCTGTTCATTCTACCTCTTTGAAATTCTCAGATCTCTATGGAACACCAATAATCTGAATATTCTCAATTTTGTGTTCTTCAAGTTCTTGTGTTTTCTTCATTCCTTCTCAATGTTTTCCCTTTTTCTGCTCCTATTGTGTTTTCAAATATCCTGTCTTCAGGCTCTTTAATTGTTTCTTCTATTTGATTTATCCTGCTACTGATTGCTTGTATTATATTATTCATTTTTCTTATGATATTTCTCAGGTCACAAATTTCTGTTTGATTTTGCAAATTGCTTCCATCACTGTTAATTTATCTGATAGATTACTGAATTAATTCCCTATGTTTTCTTGAGGCACTGAATTACAGCACTGAAGTACTGAATTACTTCCTTGTCTTTTCTTGAACGAAACTCATTGAGTTTCCTTAAAACTACTG